AACTTTTTAAATAAATGTACTTCTTTTAAGCTATTAAACGAGATATTAATGATAATGATTGGTACAGTTGTTGGCTGGCAATAACCCTTTTTTTCATTATCAATAATTTCGTGTCACACTGTATATACATTTAATGATACGTCTGTAGACTCGAAGAGTGAGGCAAAAGAGACAACCTTTTCGTCAAAGGCTTATGGTACACGAGAGAATAAGCATACAAATATCCTTTTGTACTTACCGGAGGAGTGTCTGACAGTGCATGCTTAATTCCTTGACAAATTCTTACACCTTGAGGGAAGGTTACAACTTGATCTACTTCAAGTAATGCAGAGAGATTATAAGCTCAGATCTTATACATTGAATTCGGTTTGCGCTCATTTCTTGGGTAAGTATCAACGACCAGCTTGTAGCAAACATCATGTCTGTTTATTCATCATTACTATAATGTGATCTCACAGGAGAACAAAAGGAAGAGGTCCATCATTCGATTATTACGGATCTACAAAATGCCAATAGTGAGACACGACGCCGGCTGGCTCTTTATTGTCTAAAGGTCAACTCACTTTTTATACAATCGCGCTTTTTGCCCGTGATTTTTGAACGACGAATATATTTGTAAATACTTAACACCACCTACTTATTACTAGGATGCATATCTCCCACAACGACTATTGGATAAACTCCTTTGTCTAATTAATTATATGGAAATGGCCCGCGTTACTGGCGTGCCATTTAATTATCTTCTTGCAAGAGGCCAACAGATAAAAGTGCTATCTCAACTCTATAGGAAAGCCTTCGAACAAGATTTAGTGATTCCTGCTATGAGACCGGAAGGTGTGAAAGCAAACCGTGTTTACTAGGATCAGATTTATGATGCTTATATATTGTTGATATGTAGGAACGGATGATCCATATGAAGGAGCGACTGTTATTGAGCCCAAAAAAGGGTACTACGATGTTCCCATTGCAACACTCGACTTTAGCTCATTGTATCCATCCATTATGATCGCCCATAATATATGTTATACAACTTTGCTGAGCCCACAAGATGTAGACATTCTAAAATTAAGGGCCGATGTAGATTATATTGTTACCCCTAATAATGGTAAGAACATTTATAGTAGCTATTCTCAAAAACATTGTCGACATGACTATGAAACTGATCTTACTTCCATTAGCGCGGTTCGCAAAAAAGCATCTACGTAAAGGATTACTTCCTACTATATTGGAAGACTTGCTCACTGCACGAAAGAGAGCAAAAGCTGATTTAAAGAAAGAGACCGATCCTTTTAAAAGAGCCGTGCTTGATGGCAGACAATTAGCATTAAAGGTACGTGATGACTAATTATGAGTAATGGCGTTGCTATAAGAAAGTTACTAACAGAGTTAATAAAGCTTAGCGCAAATTCCGTTTACGGGTTTACTGGGGCTACTGCTGGCAAACTACCCTGCTTAGAAATATCATCGAGTGTAACTGCGTACGGACGCCAGATGATTGAGAGGACCAAACAAGTATGTGTAATTCCATGTCTAAAATCCATTACTATCTAACATTAACTTAATTTATGGTATTAGGAGTTGGAGAGTCAGTTCACTCAATCTAATGGATATCAGCACGATATTGAAGTAATTTATGGAGACACTGATTCTGTTATGGTTAAATTCGGCGTAAACGATTTGAAGGAGACTATGAGATTAGGTATTTGTAGACCTGAAAGGCTCTCCACTTTTACATCCATTAATATATACCCTCTTTATACAGGGAAGGAGGCAGCAGATTATGTGACTGCGAAATTCATAAAACCCATAAACTTGGAATTTGAAAAAATATATTATCCGTATCTTCTGATCAGTAAAAAGAGATATGCTGGTCTTTATTGGACAAGACCTGAAAAATGGGATAAGTTGGATACAAAGGGTATAGAAGTAGGTACTATTTCCAAGCTCGATAATGTAGTATGAAGATTTTTTGACGGAGGATTTATTCATATTATATGACTCATAGACGGTAAGACGTGACAATTGCTTATTAGTACAAAATGTGATCGAAACATGTCTTCGAAAAATCCTTATTGACAGAGACGTTAAAGGAGCAGAGGAGTAAGTATGCCGAATGATTTCTTCCAAGCGCCTAAAACTACACAATTTAACATCTCTTTCACACTGACGCTATAGATATACAAAGCGTACTATAGCTGACCTTCTGCAAAATAAAATTGATATGTCACAACTGGTGATCACTAAAGCTCTTAGCAAATCAGGTACATAAACCACTTGAAACACCAACAATATGATTGAACTCTTGTTAATAAATAGTTACGTTGCAAGATTATGCGGGAAAGCAAGCACATGTAGAATTGGCCGAACGAATGCGAAAACGAGACGCTGGTATTTGTATATGTATATTAGCAATCAATTTTATAGAAAAGACGACTCATGCTAAATTCCGTTATCAGGTTCTGCACCGACTCTTGGGGATCGAGTGGCGTACGTAATAGTGAAAGCATCTAAGGGTAAGGGGCTCTACTAAACAGTTCTGTCATGCTTCCTTAATCTACATATGTGTTGATTTTGATCATTACTTAACAAGGTGCCGCTGCTTACGAGAAATCGGAAGACCCGATATATGTTCTTGAGAATAACATACCAATCGATACCAAATACTATTTGGAAAATCAACTCTCCAAGCCGTTGTTACGCATTTTTGAACCGATATTAGGCGACAGAGCTGGATCTTTATGTCAGTGACCTGATTGATTGAAGAGCGAGTTTAAACGATACATACTAATTACTAATTCCGGTATAGTGGCGGGAGATCACACACGTGTTATACAAGTGGCGACACCGACAGTCGGTGGTCTAATGAAATTCACTGTTAAGACTGCTACTTGTTTAGGATGTAGGACACCTCTTTCAAAACATGGTATACAGAATCATTGTCAGCATGTGGTAAACTGTTCACACCGATTTAGTTGTCTTTACTTACGCTTCTGGTTCCAATAGAATCGGTAGTTTGTCGTCACTGCCAACCAAAAACGGGCGAATTATATCGAAAACAAGTATGTTCTTACATGATTTATTTTTTACATATTATTAATAATTATTTACACTATCTTATCCTGTTATACAGCTCGATTCCGTTAACAAACTTGAAACTCGCTTTGCGAGACTTTGGACTCAGTGTCAACGATGCCAAGGCAGTCTGCATCAAGACGTTATATGCACAAACAGTAGCTGTCCAATATATTTTGCTCGAAAGAAGGCACAGAAGGATGTTCAAGACTCGACAACAGTTTTAGAGCGATTTAATTGTGCTTGGTGAAACCAAGAAACAAATACGACATATTAAGCTTTCATTTTTACCAAGTAAAGCAGAAATGATGTCTTACGCAACTAAGTAAATATAAATTTTTGCAGCGTAATTTGAGAATGTGTCGAGCTGCTGCTCCTATGAGCTTATGTGACTAAGCAAGAACGTTTAAAGTCTCGAAAGATGTAGGTATAAATTTTTGCTGCGCAAGGTCGAACGTAGGCTACTACTACTGCGTATCTTTCAGTTAAATCACGTGCCATATTAATGCAAGCTGCAAGACATAATAGTCAGTATTTACTTCCAGCTTACTAGTTTAACAGAGAAGGACGTTCTCAGGTCCACTCGATATTCCATAAATATGATGCACGCAGTCTAAAGCCACCACTTTTTTGTTTTGTGGCCAAATTTCCGATCTTATCGTAGGCCAATTTTTGGCAAATTTTGACACTCAAGTTGTGATTCATTTTGAGAAGAATATTATTATGTTATTTGCACTTTGACCATTAAGAAAAAAGATTAACCTTGTCCTGGAAATTTAAATGAGCTAAACTACGTAGTGAAAGGATGTTGGTTGAAGAGTAATTATGCATTTTAAAAAATATTTTTAAACAATTGTTAGGTAAAATTTTTAAATTTTTGCAAATTCTGCTTTATCCAAGCTAATGTAGGGTACCATATTCTTAGACCATATTTTTTCTTTACTTTGTTGTGAGTCTA